GCTGGAGAAGGCCACTGTGACCACAGCAGCAGGACCTCAAAGTCACCCCAGATCTGCTACTTCCTTGGGTCCTTGGGACAGCCCGGGAAGAAGGCAGAATCCGATGCTATGGCTGAGGGAGCGCAAGCCCAGGGAGGGGCCACGACCTTCCCCGGGGTCCCACAGCAGGCCAGGGACACAGCCAAAGCCAGTACCCCCCACAGGTCCTGTCTCCTTTCTCCCGACGCTGAGGCCACAGCTGGAACAGTCTTTAACAGCACACACCATGGCTCTCTCAGAAAGCCTGCTGCCCCCGGAAACCACGCCAGAGGACAAGAAGACACGAAAGGTCATTCTGTCTTCTCTGGAAAATCGGGGCAGAAGGCGAGCCACAGGCGAGGGAGACAGCCATGTCCAGGCAGCAGCGCTCTGCACGAGGTGACGGTCTTTTCATTTCCTCTTATTATGCCATAAAGCTGATTTAATAATAAAAACATGCTAAGGACTTTTTAATGTGTAATTGCTCACATATTAAAAATTACGTGAAAACACTTTCAGTGGGTGCTTGAGTGAGTCATCCAGTGGGATGACACTTGGAACGGGTTTATCAGGGACGCTGGGGAGGGGGCGGGGGCAGCCACCCCGAGAAGGGGGTGCTGGGAGCTGGAAATTTTCCAGTTCTGTCAGCAGACCCTCTGGGAGCACAGGACGGACGAGGGGGCTGCCCGGTCCCAGTGTTGGGACTTGGCATTCTCTTCTGTGAAATGGGTGTGGTGAAGGTTTCATATGTGTGAAACGCCAGGCTGCTGTGATTGGATGAGCTGATCCACGGGCAGTCCCTGCTGTGTCCCTGCCAAGGTGCCCGGCACCCAGGGAAGCCCACCACACAAGCTAGTGACCGTCACCTTCCTGGGGCAGCAGGCCCGTGGTGGGGTGGATCTTGCTGCAGAACCACCCTATGCCTTTCAGCTAACTCGGGCTCCATGATCCCAGCCAGTCTCTACGTGCTCCCGCCCAAGGCCTCATCTCCTGACACTCCTGTCCACGCCCTTGCTCGGGCTCCTCCTCTGCCCAGACTGCCAGGCCCAGCTCTCCCAGCGTCCCCACGTGGATGGCCCAAAGTGGAGGCTGTCATTCCCTCCTCTGAGCTCCTGGGGAGGCACCTGCCCATCTCAGCGCACCACTCCTGACCGCTGCAGGTCCAGGCCTGCCTCCCTGCCTCAGGGATGTTCCTGGAGTGAGATGTGGTGGTGGTTATCTGCCCCGGTTACTTGGTCCAGCCTCCGACATGGTCTGGCCTGGAGCCCTTATGATGATCCAGTGCATCCCAGAGGACCCCGTGGAGAATGGACAGAAAACTTGGCCTGGTTAGGGTCCGGTGCCCTTCCTACTGTGTCACCAGGTCCCTATGCATCTGGGCACCTTCCTCCTGGGACCCAGACTCAGGGAAGGAGTGGGTGCTGTGGCACAGGGGCTTAAGCCTCTGATTGGGACGCCCGTATCCCATATCAGAGTGCCTGGTTCCAGTCCCAGCTACTTTGCTTCTGATCCCACTTCCTGCTGATACATCCTGGGGAGGCAGCAGATGATGGCTCAAGTGCTCCCCACTACCGCTGCGTGGAGCCAAGGGACATAGAGCCTTGTCAGTTACACAGAACCCAGGTCAGCAGTGCCGGGGTCCAGATGACACACCTTACACTCTGCTTACGATAGGGCCTCGGGCACTGGCTTCCAGAGAGGTGCAGAAGATGCCGTTTGGGAGGCCTGCATCCCACATCCTGTGACTGCATCCCAGTCCCAGCCCTGCTTTTGATTCCAGTTTCCTGATAATGCACACCCTGGGAGGCAGCAGATGGTGGGTCAGGTACCATGGTCCTTGTCACCCATGTGGGAGAGCTAGATGAAGTTTCTGGCTCCTAACTTTGGCCTGGCCCAGGCCCTGGCTATGGCGGGCACTTAAGGAATAAACCAGCAGACAGAAAAATATCTTTCCAATAAAAATTGGAAATTAAATAAACATCAAACACCAAACAAATAGGGCCTCGAAAGTCAACCCAACAACTGTGCCCCCGGGCTGCCTTGGGCTGCTTACTTAACCTTGCTGTGCCCCAGTCTGTCCTTGGCAAATTGGGACTCCTACACTCCACAGGGTGCAGGCTGGTGAGGACCCAATGAGAATTGACACCAGGAGCTATGCAGGAACTCGGCAGCTGCCTCTATTGGTGCCGTTCCATCCGGCAGTGACACCAGACACACAGGGTTCACCACCAAGGTCAAATGGCTGCTGAGTAGCCAGAAGCAGCTAGAAGTGCTACTGATGGCCCAGTTAAGACCTCTGCTCTGCAGGGGTAACTGCGGCCCGCGGGCCATGGAGGGGGCAAGTGGCCATTTCAGATCTGCTCAACCCCAGCCTGAGTCTCTCTGCATGGATTCCTGTCCCAGACACGGTCTGCATTATGCAAAGGCCACCCTGTACCTAAGTCACACACGCGCACACATAGGCCACCCCACCCCACCCCAATGCAGCATCACCCCACAGGGGTCACTTTAAAAAGGTCAACTCTCACTGTGTGCTCCATGGTGTCACCAGAACCACACTCTCTCTCCCTAGAACACTGCGCTTCCCTCCCTGGAACACTGCTGGGCTGATGGCTCACCCTGGTCTGTGTCCACCCCGCCATCCGTCATAGTGGTGACAGCACACACAAAGAATTCCAGTCTCAGAGAGCTACGATGGGGTCCTTATAACCAGAAAATACCCTGTTTAATCACCTATGCCCTGAAAAGCAAAAAATGTGGGTGTGCTTGGCACAGCCTCCAGGCCAGGAGAAACGTGCTAAGCGGCAACTGGGAGGCTGCTCTGTGCAGACAGAACAAGGTCTTCATGGGCGTCCTGGGGAAATCCCACTGCTTGCCTTGCACCTGCCCATGAGGTATGCCTCCACCAAATGCCCAAGTCCCCCAGGACGATGCCACCCAGCCAAGGAGCTCCTCCTCCAGGTCCTCCTCAAGGTGCCAGGCAGGGGCAGACCCTCCTGCTATGTCCTTGTGTTTGGGAGACCTCAGCACCACCCAAGTCTACCCTGGGCAGCACAGGCCACTGCTGGCTTCGGCCCCCAATTAAGGGAGTGTCTTTGGCAAGTCTCTCACCTGCCCTAGCCTCAGTTTTCCCATCTGTAAAATGATGCTGTTGGGTCTAGATGATTTCCAAGATCCCTCAGTGTCCTGACATGCTGACGGTGCCACAGCATCCCAAAGTCCCAGGCAAGGCCTGCAGGAAGCAAGACTGGCCAGGCTGGAGCCCCCGCCTGGATCACTCAGTGGAGGGGGCCAGGTTACTGCAGGTCCAGAGCATCCATCAGGGGACCTGAGTCACTGGAGGACAGCAGATGGCCCTCCCTGGGGACCCCAGGCTCTGCCCCAACGCACACTCTTCAGAGTCTGCCTCACCAGCAGGAATTAGGGAGACGAGATAAAGCTAGCCCTCGGCAAGGGTGGCCTAAGGCCCTGTGGTCACCTGTTTCCTGTCTCAGTGTCCACAGGGAGCACGGGGCTGAGAGTCCTATAAGCAGAGGCTGGATTCACACCCAGACCCCTCACCAGTCGGCCCCCAGAGTCCGCACAGCCCTGTGAGCTAATGCTCAGCACAGGCCCAGGGCACACCGAGCAAGCATTCCGGGCCACTTCCTTTCCCTGTCTTCTCCTAATTCAAGAGAAATCAAGAGAAAGTGTTCACAGACATAGCATCAAACACTAGGAGGACCACAGAAACAGGCACCTGCATCGTGAGTCCCCAGACACACAGGGCCCTGACTCAAGGGCCTCCAGGCCCCGGGGAGCTCCCAGCCTGGTCCTGGCCACCTGCCTGGAGATGGTCAGAGGGGTCACCCAACGCAGCTGACAGCCCCCTTCCCCATTGTGTGGGGGCTTCTCCTCCTCCACTTGTCTTCCCACCCCTGCTGTGTGTGTTTGTGAGGGAGGGGCAACAACTGTCCCTCCTCCAGGCTGGAACAGGCCCACAGGGTGCTGCGTCCTCAGCCACACTCCTCTGGACCCCACACACGACTGCTGTGACAAGGCTTGGTCATCGAGGCCTGACCAGGACACCTGCCACAAGGGGGTCTCCGTGTCCCCTGAAAACCCACCAGGGACACCAGGCTTCTCAACACGGCTTCCAGCTCCCCAGATGAGGATTTCTGGGTATGCAGACAAGGATAATTCCATCTCTGCCAAAGATCTAGCCGGCCCCTTGGATCAGGCAACGAAAGCAGGTGGCCTAGCCCGGTCCACCTTTCACCGTGGCTGTTAGGAAGCTCCAAGTAAAGTTTCTTTCTCAAATGCTCCCTCTTTCTGCAGTCAGAAGTTGCTGGTAGCACTTGTTCCCTGCTCTCTCCATCGGCTTCTCAGTGGCTGCCTTTGGGTGACTGCACGGCAGGTGCTCTTGTATCTGGCCTTTCACTGTGCCCTGCAGTATTTTCTTGATGCAGGTGAAGCACAGCAGGTCAACGTGTGGGAAGATTTAAGACAGCACTGCCCAGGCTGGCCCCGCGGCTCAATAGGCTAATCCTCCACCTGCGGTGCAGGCAACACCGGGTTCTAGTCCCGGTCGGGGCTCCGGATTCTGTCCTGGTTGCCCCTCTTCCAGGCCAGCTCTCTGCTGTGGCCAGGAAGTGCAGTGGAGGATGGCCCAAGTGCTTGGGCCCTGCACCCCATGGGAGACCAGGAGAAGCACCTGGCTCCTGCCTTCGGATCAGCGCGGTGCGCCAGCCACAGCACACCGGCCGTGGCGGCCATTGGAGGGTGAACCAACGGCAAAGGAAGACCTTTCTCTCTGTCTCTTTCTCTCACTGTCCACTCTGCCTGTCAACGGGAAGCAGTGGCTCACTCTTTCTAGAAAAATCTATAAGCTCTGCACTGCCCAGCCATCACCATGAAAGCACAAGGCTTCCCTGCCTGTGAGGGCCCAGGAAGGTCCTCCCACTCTCTTCTCTGTGGGTCTCTGGACCCGAGGCTTGGCTTACCTGTCATGATCCTCTGGGCCTCGTAGGGCTCCATGTAGCCGGCACTCTCCCCCTTTCCTGCTTTGTTTTTGAGATCGTTCTTGGCATCGAAAGGATCCGAGTAGTCATCAGCTATGGTCACCTGCAGGAAGAAGACGGGGCAGCGTGAGTCCACCTTTGGCTGTTTTTGCTTCACTTTGGTTCGCAGCAAACATCCGCTGGGCTAGGTGGGGCAGAGGGAGCTGGTGCTCTCATCCTGCGGGAGCCCCAATCTCGCATGGGGTGACAAGTCAGACAACACACCCTGGCACTGCTCCAGAATGGGGGGGGGGGTCCTTGGAACCCGAGCACGCCGTCTGGCTGGCCCTGGGCAGTAAGGTGAGATCAGAGAGGCACCTGGTTGGCAGTAAGTACATGCACGCAGCACGGAGGCAGGAGCCTGCAGGGTATTTTTGGGGAAGGAGCACTGCTCAGTTCAGTGCAATAGAAAAAGTTGGAACGGAGATCAGAGTCCAGAAACACTGGCGCTCCCGCTCCTGGTGCGGGCTGAGGCTACATGCTCGGCGAGAGATAATTACAGCGGCGCTTCATTGTCCCCAGATCTGGAGCGCAACCACGCCTTGGGTCATCACACAGCAATGTGATGAGATCAACACGCAGAAAGATGACCGTAGCCCCAGAAACCCAACAGAAGCACAAGAGCAGCTCAGCGATGGGCAGACAGACAGACAGCAGCCCAGGGTGGAAGGGCAGGACCCAACTGGGGGCCCTCCAGGGCCTCTTCAGAGATAGGAATGCCAGGCCCCGGGCTGGGCCTGCGCCAGAGAAAAGCTCCAAGGGACACAGAGTTACCGGGAGGACAGGGGGAGGGCGGGAGAGGGCTGCCTGGAGAACTCCAGGGCTGGGCAGAGACCCCCGGGATGTGGCCAAAGGAGGAGGGACCACATAGGCTGGGGGGAGGGGACAGGATGGTCTGCATCCCAGCCTCAGCAGCAGTCCCTGTGCCTGCCCTCCAGGGTCACGCGTGCACACGGGGCTAAGGAAAAGCCGTCAGTCTCCGGGCTGTGGCCACCCAGCTGCCTCTCTAAAGAGGGGTAGGTCAGCATTTCTCTCCACCCCGGGGGTCCCAGGAATTGTTATTTAAATGGAGGGTTTAATTAGAAACCGCAGGAGCCTCCTCTTTCTCCCAGCTCCTGGAATGTGAAGCATTTGAGGGGCTGTAAACCCAGGGGAGGGGGAAAAACCCCCTTTGTCTGCCTAGTAAAGGGTGGCTGGTGGCAGCAGCCTGGCAGGGTGCACGCGGATGACGGCACGGGCAGCTGCTCGGGACGCTATGCTCACAGGCAGCAGCTCTGTCCCTGGCGCGTGGCTGGGGCAGGCCAGGGATGACAGGACAGAGTACACGGCGGTCAATGCTCTCAACACAAGAGCAGGCTTTGGAGTGGAAAACCCTTGCCTGGAGCCAAGGACATCGGAGCAGCTGCACCCCGGCTGCCTCCCAGCAGGAGGCACTTCCAGATGCGGACAGTGTGCTCAGGGCCCTGCTGGGGGCTCCCAAAGCTTCAGTGACACCCGGCTGGGAAGGGGTGAGGGTGAGCGCTGGCTTGGCCCTGCCTTTCATCTGCTACTTCTGCTTTGCCATGTGCAAAACACATTAGGCAGAAAATGACACAGGGACAGACATCTGTCCGACAGAACGGCTCAGATGCTGGTCAGGTGCAGGGTGAGGGGTCTCAGAGTTCAAGGGACCCGAGGATGGAGACCAGGAAGCACCTGACATGGCCGGCACCGACTCTCCGCCCTTGTCCCCCAGACAATTCTGCTGTCACTTTTCCCCACGAACAGCCTCCATGTGGTCTAAAGGAGCAAATATTTCTCCAAGAAAATCATCGTTTCGGAGGGATTCGCTGGGGAGCACAGAGAACCAGGAGGGGGACCTCAGCACGCCAGCTTTTTTGGAAGGGCTCTGCAATCTGTCAACACGGGGCCTGTGGGATGGAAGCCGTATCTTTGTTCGCCCTGGGACAGGCGCTCTGGGATGCCTGAGATTCAGCAGGCGCTATCTGTATTTTCTAATTAAAGTGAGATCTGAGCTTAGGCTGTCACAGGGCCCCCAGCTGCCTGCCCCGCTGACTTCCGTTTCAATAAGAATTTACAAATCCTAAAACTCGCAAGAGCCCCCGGTCTCTGCTGACATATGGTTCCCGTTATACCTGCCGACAGCCGAAAAACCGTTCCATTTAAGAAAAAAAAAAAAGTTTAGGATTCTGTTCGTTTAAGAAGCAAATTGGAAGGTTCCTAAAATGGATATTTAATCAATTTGCTTTTGAACTTCAAAGTGAGGTTGGTGGAGGGAAGGGAATTGGAGGTTTGAGAGCCTGAAGCCCGGAAAGCAGGGTGTCTATCGCACCATTCAGCCTGGCTTAGGGAGAGACTGAACCAGGTGTTAGGAGAGCCAAGCAGGCCCTGGGCCGGAGGGCTGAGCCCCAGCCACCGTCCAAGCTGCCCAGGGCTCCCGGTCAGGCAGGACGGCCCCGGAGGAGGTCTGAGTGAAGTTTGCTGCTCCTCTGAGTTCCCCCGCCCCGAGGTGGGCCTGAGCCCTGCCAGCTGGCTCCAGCTTTGCTTCAGAATGCCCCAGTTAGGGAACAAGTGCCCTGAATCTAACAGAACAATCCAGCCAGAAGGGAACCAGCAGGGATTTCTCAGCAGACCAGGCTACCTGGGCACAAGGCAAGTTTTCCTTTGATTTCAGTCTCAGGCTGGCCAAGATCTGACATCTGTCAGATCCCCTCCTGTGGCCTGCATGGTCGCATGGGGGCAGATACAGGAGTGACTTGGGAACCCAGGCTGCCGGTCCCATCCTGGCTGAGGATTTAAGGGGACAGCTGCGGCAGGCAGGGCAGGCTGTCGAAGGCGGCTGCCGAATCACTTCTGGGATGGGCACCAAAACCCTGGCCAAAAACCCTTCCTTCCTAACAAAACCACAGACCCCAGGTCAGCCCAAAGCCCCTACAGGACTCCCACAGTCTCCTCTGGAGCCAGCCGCTGGGCCTGGAGGCCGGCCCTCACCCCGACTCCCGAGGTGGTGTTCCAGATCCCAGCTCAGCCACTGCCTCCCTGATGTGCTACAGACAAGCCTTGGCTCTCTGTGCTCCCTCTTTATGTTGCACACACGCTGTTGGGTAGAACTCGGCCCCTTCCAGCTTCTCGGGCTCTGGCGACTTTATCGCAGGAGTTTAGTTTTGTGATAGGAAGTAGTCGTCCTGTTCATCCCCAAAGAGGAAACCTTAGAGAAGTGGGTGCTGCCGCTTGGCCACACTTCCCTGCACGCTGGGGAGTGCTTTAGTTGCTTTTGCGAGACAGCTGCACCTGTGTGGGGCCCTGAACCCACACCCTGTGCTCCCTGTGGGAATGCACAGTGGCGGAGCCACTCTGAAGTGGGATTCTGGGCAGGATCTATTAAACCCCCAAACGCACAGAGTCTGACCCAGGCATCTCATGTCTCAGTATTTATTCCCCAGTGTGCACAAGGAGACGTGGCCAAGGATGCTCAGTGAAGCAACCGATGAGGAGGCATGAGTGACTGCTGTGAATAGGGGAACTGCTACGCATACGGTGTTAGTTCTGTATTGTGGGATGTGATGAGGTTTAAAAAGAAAACCCATCTCTCTTCATGGCTTTGAATGGAAAGAAAGGAGGTTGAAGAATGGTAATTGTAACATGCCACCTATCCAAGAAAAAGACAACAGAAACTTGTATCTCTCTTCCTTGAAAGACAAGGTCTGGGGAGAAGGATGCTCCAAACAGACCTCTCCTCTGGAAGGAGGGGGATGGGCGTTGCGGGGAGTCAATGTTAGCACTGCCAAACAAGGAGAACCTCTACCTGCTATTTTATGCAAACCTGAACTTGCTGTACAGCGTTCCTCGCTCCCCGGGCTAAGGCACCTGCATCTCCCATCACAGTACCGGAACCTGACTCTGGCTCCTGATCCTGGCTTCCTGCTAACGCATACCTGGGAGGACTTGGGACTCCACCTCTCAAGGGAGAGACCTGGATTGAGTTCCTGGCCCCCAGCATCCTCCTGGCCCCACTCCAGCCATTGCAGGCATTTGTGGAGTGAACCAGCAGACAGGAGCTCCCTCTGTGTCTCCCAAATTTAAAAGAGCAACAAAAAAGCATTCAGTAGACAGGCTGCTTCTCAAACCTGCCTGAAGGCAGCATGACCTGCAATGCTTGCGAAGAAAACAGATTTCTAGCCCCCAGTAATCCCCATATTAAGCATGCAAGCCAGGCGATGGTTATCAGGAAAGTTTGGGAAACAGCAAGCTGGAACCTGCCCCTCCCCCACCAGTGGACCGGCAAACCTCCAGATACGCTGGAATTCCACTTTTCCCAGCTCCTTCTCAGCCCTGTTCATCAATGCAACACCTGTCCTACTTCCTGCCCTGGAGGTCAGCTGGCATGAGAGATGACCCCACACACCTTGCGAAGGCAGGATGCGGAACCTCAGGCCTGATCAGGGAGGAGAGGGCTCTGCAGGTGAGACCACCACCCTGCCCTGGAGGAAAGCCAAGGGCCATTCGGGGCAAGGCTCTCTGTGCCAAAGTACAGACACGTTCAGGTCAAGTCCACCTGGCCCTGGGCAAACTCCTCCAGGAAGAAGGGCTGGTGGCAGCGTCAGGAGGAGCCGAAGAAACCCACACTGTCTCCGCTGGTTTCTCCCCGGCCACCTCCTCGTGCCCTGCTGTCCACGGCAGCTAGCCACGCCAGGGCAGCCCCAGCCCTCCCCTGGGCTGGCTGGACAAGGGGGTCTCTGTGCTGCTCTCCCCTCCTTGCAAAGTGAGGGGGCTGCACCCCCACAAGGCCCCAGATTCTCCCCAAGTCCATGATTTCTTTCTGTTCTGCTCCATGGCGAACTGCACGTGCATACTCCTGAGAAGGTTCTCCACGGTCCCGGTGGGACCGTCTTCTCACTAAGGTACCGTCCAGGCTGTCCATCAGTTTTCCAGTACTGGGGTCGCAGATCCTTGGGAACCTGATCTCTGACAAAGCTGAGGCTCCCACAAAGTGTTGCTCACCTTACCGAGAGGTCACAGACCCCAAGCCAACAAAGGCCCCTTTCATCAGAGCCGTTTGCACCA